AGAGAGAAGAGAGAGAGAGAGAGAAAAGAGAGAGAGAGAGAAGAGAGAGAGAGAGAGAGAAGAGAGAAAAGAGAGAAAAGAGAGAGAGAAAGTATTGCAGGAATCATTCACAAACTGAAAGATTAAAATCAGTCTCTTCACATAGAGTCTCTTCCGTGAATGAAGACATGCACACCACGCTTCTGTTCAGTAACAAACTGAGGAATCTTCCAACAGCTGGGGAAAGCCACAGAGCTTCACCAGGGTCTTCTGGTCTCCCGAAAATGGACAAAATCCAGCCAGGATTGCATGAGGTCTGTATGTGTTACGTGCCCAGAGGGAAAACCAAAGGTGTGGGAGGAAGGGAATGGACTGGAGACTGAAGCACTGGACTAATTACAACAAAATGCACCAAGGAGGGGGGGGAAGATCCCACACTGAGAATGCCCGCTGAATGAAAAAGCTCCTCGGATCCATGCACTCCCGAAGCTCATTCCCGTGAAAAGCAGAGGCTGAAGGAAACTAGCTGGCATCTGGCAGGACTTCTGCTCCTGGCAGAAAGCAACAGCAATACCAGGCATCTAAATGACTACTAACAAGGTCCTCCAAAGTCAGTGAGAAGTTTTTGATGGTGTTCAAAGTTCACTTTCTGCTCATTTTCATCATTATGTTATTCTCCTCATTTTCATCATTAGCGTGTTACTCTCCTCAGCACTGTTGTGCAATCCATTTATTAAGTAATCTGGGTGGGGGTAAAGTGTTCTAGCATAACATAACCAATTCAAATAAATTGATTAATTAGTTGAATTTTATCTCGCCATACCCTCTTCCAGTTAACACCAGGATGGCTGCTCCGCAAGCCTACAGAAACCAGGAGGGGGAACGGTGTGCAATAATACTTGCTAACAGGATTTCTGCTCCACAAAATTAATCGTAATCCAGTTAGGAATAACCACATAAAATGCAGAACTAACAGATTTCAGTATGTAAAAAAGTAAAAACTTTTGAAAACAGTAGTAGCTTCAGTACAAATTGCAAATATATGTAGCAACAAAAAAGAGGTGCCTGTTGTTGAAATTAAAAGTCTATTTAAGAGCAGTTCAAATAAATCACAAGCTTTTTAAAGTACATCTCTGAATGAAGCAAAGGTTATGGGCTTGCACCAGGGTAACTAAACAGTTGATTTAGACCTGACCAGCGTTAAAAAAAAACCATGTGCACTGGCTTAAATAAATACATTTTAAATATAATAAATTCTATTTACTCGGTTACCAAAATTTACCTACAGAAAACAATCTTGAATTACAAGGCACGGGGTTAATTGCTGCCTGGAAGTCAAGCCCACACTGAAGGCCTACTACTAAAGGAAAGGCAGAACGTAGTGAGTAGAGGTTACCTCGCCAAAATGCTCCTGCGCCCCAGCAGCCTGCAGGGCACTGTAGCAGGAACCACAGCTGGAACAGCACTTCTCTGATTGCAGCCACTCTAGGCAATGGCACTTGGTGAAGAAAAATAGGCAGAGTCTCTAAGCTTCTGCAAACATCACGCACATGGGTGGTTTGGTGTCGCTGGCGGTCAGGCAATGTTTGGAACTCAGTGTTCCACATATACCAGTATTTGGATTAACTGCAGTTTATAATCTATGGGTTGCAGTTTGCTGAAGCAATACGAGCGCAAGCATACCTCAGATATACAAAAATTGCAGTTAGCGTCAGCATCAGTTACACCAGCTGAAGAAAGGCACATCCTCTTCAAAGAGGGGGATTACGGCACAAATACAAATGTTTCTATCTACCGTATCAGATAAAGCAAGGTCAAATTAACACAAGACCCCTAATAACCCTATTGATACGTTTTCTGTTATCATGCTAAAATTATGTTCTTTTCTCTCCAGGGTAGACACCAGTGCATTTTTGCATGTGTGGGAATCACAAGAAAGCAAGTTGTGAATTACCAGTTGAGGCTGCATCTGGACAAAGACAGCACTGCCAACTTCAGACAACAAAGCCCAGTCCAGCACCATTGGTTTCAAACAAAGTATCTTTGCAGCATGCTGCTCTCATACCACCAAGCTGTACAGTTAAGTCTAAGGAAGGTTTCATGCGCTCGCTCCTCAGCTGGTCGCAGAATCACACAAAGAACAGTGCACATCCTGAAAATAAAAGCCAGCTGCCACGCACTCGAGCTGCTAAAGAAAGTTAAAAAGTATATAAATAGAACTTGAGTTAAAAGAGTTTATAACAACTGATCACTTAGTAGAGAGGAGAAAACTGCCCAGGTAAACCTATCCAGTGACTGGCTAACGATTACACGTTTAACTGAAACAATCAGTGAGTTACCAGGAAGAAACGAGCATTCCTGGTTCCTGTAAATAGAACCTCTGAATTTTCTGTCTGTGTTCTCCCAGAAAAACAACAAAGGAATTTGCTGTAAAAATCTCAGGCCCCAAGAACATAAGGAAGCAAAGCAATGACTTCCTCAAGAGCAAATGGGCTGCTATCAAGTCTCTGAGATTCATCAAAGGGATCACACTGAAAATCTCGTTTTGAGAAGTGTCATCCCAACTACCTCAGTCAGTCCAAACAGGTAACTGTTAACTTTACTCTCAGGGTGCAAAGTCTCTTTGGAAAGCGAAATAAAATCTCAGTTTAGATGACTGTGGAAAACTTGCATCTAAACTACTCTTCCACCTCTCCAATTCAACAGTATGAAAATCACTCAAGTGATTCATCATTATCCTAAGTTTCTTACATCAGGAGAAATCAGCTCCTGCTTCTATTAATAGAATCATTGCAGGCATTCCCTGGGTCTTGCTTATTGCATTAAACATGTCTTATGCTAACTCTTCATGTAAATGATCACAGTTCACTATAAGGTGAATCTCAGTAATTATTTCAGGATTTTTTGCATGTAAACAAATTGTTTTCAAGCTTCGAATTGATGAATTAAGACAACTGGACAGCCAGACTTCTGTTTGTAAAACAATTCGATCAGTAAGAGATGGGAAAAGCAGCAGCTAAGCTTAAAGCAAAGTTATCAGAATTTGTGCTTTTCAGCAAATCTAGTAACTGATGGCTATCTAGTAAAGAAGTCTGGCTTCAAAGAAGTCCCTTCTTATATTTTCCTCCACTAAATACAGGCAGAAGCCAAGTGATCCCCAGAGAAGCTGGAGACTGGAATTTTAGAAATTAAAAGTAGGTATTTGACCTCTCAGTTGGGAAAAAAAATCTGTTCTGTTTTGGTTTCCCTGAAGCAGTAAGACTGCAAGAACATTCGTTGCATAAACCACTTCTGCTTAGAGCTGTTAGTGCAAGATGCAAATCTTCAATATAACTCATTAAAAAGCCCTCCAAGGTTCTAGACGATATTCAACTTTGAACATCCATCACCTGAGGTAACTACAATAAGACACATTTTCTTGTGTTCTTCTTTGTCACAGGATACAGAACTGCACGCACAGCTTCAGCAAACACCTCCCGAACACCCTCCTGATTCAATGCTGAGCACTCCAAATATTTGACTGCTCCAATTTGTTTAGCCAGCGAAGTTCCCTGCTGCGGGGTAGTGGGAGCCAAGCTTTGCTCTTTCAACTTTTTAACTGTTTCCAGGTCATTTCTCAAGTCTCTCTTCGTGCCCACTAAAAGAATGGGAACATTTGGACAGTGGTGAGAAACTTCAGGATGCCATTTGTGCCTCACATTTGCATAGGAAGAGGGACTACCAATGGAGAAACAGATGACAAATACATTGGTTTGAGGATACGAGAGTGTGCGCAGGCGATCATATTCCTCCTGGCCTGCAGTGTCCCAGAGATTCAGGCTTACTGTCCGGCCATCAACCGTCATTTGGGCACTGTAGTTGTCAAACACAGTAGGGATGTACTCTTCAGGGAAGGCATTGGTGGTATAGCTGATGAGAAGACAAGTTTTTCCCACAGCGCCATCTCCAACAACTACGCACTTTATAGTCTGCATTCTTTACCCAGAAACAAACTCCTGCACAAAGCAAGAAAAAAAAGTTAGGAAAAGAACACTCAACAATAGTGGTTGTAATATTGCTAACAACTTCTTATCACAGCTAGACACACTCAGAAGCCATTATGAAGAGCTCACAGGCTAGAAGGACAGTAGTGAAATGGAGATGCAATAAGTGGAGAGAACTGGCTGCATTCCAACCACGTAAGCACAAGTTAGCCAAATTCCCACAGTCTTGCCTTACTGCCAGACAGTTTCCCACAGGCAAAGGGACAAGCCTTTAGAGGTACCTGCAAGTGGAAAGGGATCATGACCTCAGACCTAGTAATAAGATACTGTCATTTGTAGGTTCACACACACCCCCTCTCCAAGATTCACACTTCTTGTCTACATAGTCTACTGCCTGAACAGTTTACCACAAAGAAAGGTCCAAAAATTATATAATAAAGCAAGATACCTATTGCTGGGCTGCACTGCTACTGTTTACTGTAATAATTCACTCAACTCAGGATGAATCAGACCTTAAGAAACTGCATTATTTAGAGGGGAGCAGATAAAAGGTTCAGAAAGCAGCACACACAAGAAAAGCTATTCTTCAAAATATAACTAGCCATAGTACCCAGATTAGAATAAAGAATTTTTCTAGAGAAGCCAAGAACAGATTATTCTCACTAATCAGTGACAGAACAAGCAGAACTTAATAGGCTTCAGCTACAATAAAGAAAGCTTACACTGAGAATTAAAAAAAGTACATGCTGTAGAATATCAGCAATCAAACAGCTGACACCTAAAGGCTTCCCTATTCCTTTCCTGATACATAAAGAGCAGGTTCGATAACCAAATGGATGCAGCCTAAAACTCAACTCATTCTAAACTTCCATTGCATGAACAGCACGAGCTTTGAAAATAGCATGGAACACCTACAAGCAGTCCTTTGTTGTATGCTGGAGCTTACACTGCTAGCCTGAACAAGAAGAAACTTGCATCTGCCTTCTCACCCAAATGCCTTTGAGGTACTAGCAGTAATCCTCAACTTGCAACCAGCAGCAAATACACTGATTCAAACAGCAGAAACAAATAGTGGGAGGAACTATATTGCATATTCCAGAAAGACCACAGCTCCAACACCATCAAAATAGCAAAGGGAACACACAGAAAATTAGCAATAGCGAAGTAGTTCCCTTATAAAAGTCATTAAACCCCCTCCCTCCAACTTCCTCTTCAAGACCATCCAAACAAATCAACAACTCATTACCATTTAAGTCTCAGCTTCGTCCATTCTGACAAAGTCTTTATCTGTATCCACGTACTGCTCTCTTCCCATTGGGAGCACACCACACTACATGAAAATAGACTTTGGCACAAAGCTGCAACAGGCAACTTGAGTGATATCAACTGCGGTTACTACGACATATGGTGCTTAAGGGAATATCAGTGTTTGTACACACGCACTACTGAAAACCAATCAGTGGTGGGAAACGGTGCAGAAACCTTGCCCCAGAAAGACCCTGTAGGACATTGGAGTGTAAGAATTTGTGGGAGGACGACACAGAAGCAGTTTATCCTTTTTGAAAATGGCAGGAATTACATTTCTAAAACAACATGAATCACCTGAAATGAAATCTGGCAAGTACTTTTGAGCTTTGGCAGAAAAGCATACATGTGAGTTTCATCATACATAAAAGAAATCAATCATCCCGTTTCAAGAGGATGCATAGGGAAGAGTGTGACCATTAGGTTGAGGGAGGTCATTCTCCCCCTCTACTCGGCACTGGTGAGGCCACAACTGGAATACTGTGTCCAGTTTTGGGCTCCTCAGTTCAAGAGGGACAGGGAACTGCTGGAGAGTCCAGCGAAGGGCAACCAAGATGACTGAGGGATTGGAACATCTCCCTTATGAAGAAAGGCTGAGAGAGCTGCGACTCTTTAGCCTGGAGAAGAGAAGGCTGAGGGGAGACCTTATTATTGCTTACAAATATCTAAAGGGTGGGTTGAAGAAGGACGGAGCCACACTCTTCTCGGTGGTTCCCAGTGACAGGATGAAGGGCAATGGGCACAAGTTGGAACATAGGAAGTTCCGCTCCAATACACGGAAAAACTTCTTTACAGTTCGGGTGACAGAGCAGTGGCACAGGCTGCCCAGGGAGGGGGTGGAGTCCCCTTCTCTGGAGATTTTCAAAACCTGCCTGGATGCAGTCCCGAGTAATGTGCTCTATGCAATCCTGCTTTAGCATGGGAGTTGGACTAGATGATCTCTAGAGGTCCCTTCCAACTCTGAAAATTCTGTGATTCTGTGATGCTGTGATTCTGTGAAGGCCCCAGTCAAATGTAGAGATGCATATGCAACTGTATATTGTAAAAGTAAGTAGTAAACTGAAGAACAGCACTGACCAGCAGAAGCTGACAGCAGGACTGCATGTATTATTCCAGAACAACTGCACCAAGATTTTCATTTAACAGGGCTGGGGGGAGGAGGGGGTGGTAGAAAGAAGGAGAAAATATATAGGTAAGTTCTGTCAAATTAGATTCTTAGAAATGTTTCTTGCATTTTTGCAAACCCCAAAGTTGAAACTCCTATTAATATTAAATTACTTAAATCATTACAAATTAAACATTTAGTATATTATTAATAGAGGTTGAACACTGCTACTGGCAGCATATACTACAACATAACATTTCTGAACACAAAAGGTCTAAGTGCTACAAGCAAACAGTGACAGAAGAGCGGATGCATTTTAATCCCATAACACTGTTGTACTTGAAGATGCAACTGTAACTCACTATCCTAGTCTCTACTGCTGCTCTCCCTGTAGGGAAGATCAACACCTGCTTTGAGACACTGCCATGTTCTCTCCAGCAGCAAGGCTGCCTTCAGACATTTCCAAAAGCTGGTTCCCCTTCCCACCCAGGTAGCAGGCCACCTCCTCAGCCATGAAAAAAGGGTGAGGAGTTGCTTCATCCAGTTTACCGAGTAGTACCACAACCAACTGTGTTGGTACAACCAAGCCAGTGGTGGCATACGGTAGGAATGAATCACGGGGGAGGAACACCATATGTATCTGCCAAAGCATCCCTGGATTGCAGCACAGAGAGCAGGTTTTAAAGCTTATTCCTGCATTTACTTCAAACCACTGAAGTACTAGAAGATGCTGTGCCAGAAACCTTACTGGTGACCAACAATTCCAGAGCAAAAGTTTTTTTCCAAATGAACTACCTATGCAACAGGCTGCTATTTTGATCAGCCAATAACACATGACATCACATGGATGGCAGAACTAAGTCAGTTGGATATGTGCAATAAAAATTCAGCTATAGCAACAAAAGTCTTGGAGAACACGATACACGAGGCCTTTTATATGCCTAGTTCTTAACTGATAAAATAAACAAATTGCAAAGACTTGAAAACAGATGTCTCTTTAAAACACAAACCATGAGCTCCCCCACGGGCTTACACCTCTATGCATTTCTGTCCAGAGCTTTTCACAGAAAGACAGGGTATCCCAGAATTGCAGCCCTACCTGCACACCCCAGGCACTAATATCTGGAGGGTCACTGCCTCAATATTGTAAGACAATGGAGGTAGTTTCATATATTGGTAAATTACAAAGCCACGTGTATCCTGTACCACCAGCAGCTAAAGTAGCTTGATAAAACCCAACTTAAAATTTCTAATGAAAGTGTTACTCAAAGATTATTTTGTTGGGGTTTTATTTAAGAGGTCATCAAAGCTTTCAAGTCAGAGAACAGTAGTAAGGTAGCAAAAAAGCCTGGAACACAAATGCTCTTTCATGACATTCGTATCTTGAATTACCTGACTAGGGCTTGGATTTTAGAAGAGCAACATTTGCAATAGGAAATAACTCCATGCAAACATGCATCAGGCTAAGTAGGAACTACACAAATACAATGAAAGAGCTTGTAAGCTTAAGTATGCTTCTCTGCAGGGCTCCTTTAAAGCAGGTTCTCTTATCTGAAAGGAATCACACAGGATATGCAACATAGAAAAACAAATGCACACCAGGATACACTTGATTTAGTACTGAAACACAAATTTTAGATAAATTAATAATTTAAAAAAAGAGTAGAAAGAAGCTCCTACACTCCAGAAACCTGAATGTTGTAAGCAGGTATAGTTTGGTTAAAGATCTACATATGGAAGACAAAGGTTTGGGTTTTTTTAATTTAAGCCACAACCAAACAAATAATATTACCTCCATCAGGCCTTTTCTATTAAATCCACATATCACCTTGTTCAAAATGTATAAGGTCTCTATTTATAATTTTTTCTTGTAAACAATTTGCCTAGCAATAAAACTCTTATAAGACAGCAAGAAGGGTTCAAATTTGCATGGAAAATTCTTTCTATTTCTCAAGCACCCTTGGAGCTGGCACTGCACGCTATTTGAATATAAATATATGCTGAAAAAAACCCAACCATACTCTGAAAACAAAATTACAAACAAACATTACCCAGAGCCGGAAAATTGGTTTAGGGTTTGTTTGGGGTTTTTTTTTTTGGTGAGCTTCAAAAGAATTTTTGGGGAAAACTTTAGAGAGAAAAACTCCACATACAACAGGTAACAAGAACTGAAAAAGACAAAAATACAGATTAACACGCCAACACATCAAAAACAAGACTTAGAATTTAGAAACAGAAAGCTCAGCACAAGCTTCAAAGCCAAGTTTAAAGGTTACTCGGCAAGAGAAAGGGATGAACGGAAAGTCCAAAGCAGTGAGAGGTGATTCTGGTTGCTATTCCTGCCAGAGAAAGGACTTTCGTTACAATTAACGTGGAAGATCACTAGAACATAAAGAGTTCTAGCAGTTACAGCAAAATTTTCAAAGAATAAAAAAAAAAAAACCACCCAAACCCAGCCACCCCACAAAGAAGCGTTGTGCAAAAATACACAGATGAGAATTATTTCTATCTCATCCACTAGTACCTTTGAATTAGAAAACTGGCATTGCTGTTTGGGTTAGTTTCCTTCTCAGAAGATGCTACAAAGTCTGCCTTCGCTGCCTGCACACCTGGTACTTCCTTTGGAATGTGCAAAATTTCAATTGACATGTCGAGACATTTTCTGGAGAGCTGCTTCTATTCTGACCTAATTACATATTTTCTGGTATCATTAACATGGACAGCTTGCTCTCCTGTAACCCAACGGGACATCTGCTGGGGACTACTGAGATTCCACTCCCCCTCTCCACAAAATTGTCATAAGTGAAATCACAGAATATCTTCACATTGCATCTTTTTTTTTTTTTTTTGTGGGAGAGAAAAAACTTCTAGATCTTCTTCCCTTTAATACTTTTGAAGGAGAGTTCCCTGTCTGCTGAGAGTAAGGAGAAAACAGTGACAGAAAACAGAGAGGAAACATGAACCTGAATTCTTCTGGGGCTTTCTAGATGTATGCTTTTCATAATTCCTAAACTGAAAAATTCTTGGCAGAGGAACTACTTCTTAGCAGGATATGCCTCTGCCCTTGCTACATCAACACCAGATACCTCATTGTTAGGTCAATTTCAGCTTTGATATTGCTCATTGATAACCTAATTTTCACAGTTTGTCAGGTCTTCCATATCTCTCTTTCCAGTTTGGATAGGGCTCCATTTTGGCCAAAAATTAGCAGAAAATACACTAGAAGTTCAGCCAAAATCACTTGTACTGACCTGTGTTGTTCTGTTCAGCCACCACCTTTGATCAACCCCTCCCCGTTTCGTAGGCTCAGGAGTTTGATACTGCTTTATCAGGAGCAAGCAGAAGTTAAGAAGTCTCAATGACTTAATTGCTCATCTTTCAGTAACAAAAACTACATCACAGATGATTCATTCTGTCTGTCTGATACATGAAGTCAGGCGGAAACTTTAAACAATGAATTGGGTAGATAAGGCAGTTCAAAGTATATCCTACCATCTTCACCCATGCAAAGGAGATAAAAGATTTTTCTTGCATTCATCTTAGCCACCAGGCCTGACAGAGAAGAGAAGGGGGCTCTCAGCAATTTAATCAAGACTGTGTTACTATTCCACAACAGCTCAGCTTACTCGCCACTGTTTTAGGCAAGCGCCAAACGAATGGACAAGTGCCAGACTTTTAGAATGCATGCCAAGAAAGAGTAAAAAAGTTAAATAGGAGACCCATCCCTAATACCCTTTAGCAATGAATGACCTACTTGGACTTCAAAGTTTTCACACTGCTTTCTCTCGTCATTTACCTGCAAGAGAAACAAAACACACTGCAACAGCCTGAGTGGCAGCAGAGGGAGAAAAAAGTTAAGAAGCTAAACCAGATTTCAGCAGCAGAGCAGGCACTGCTCAGTCCACTATGCAGAGCTCCACGTGAACAACAAAATCGAGGAAGCTTGCTTTCTGCAGAGCTCTGCCTGGAGGTTCAGCTCCTGTGCACATTACTGATGCCTAGCAAGAGCACAATTCTCACTGGTTGTTCCCTCAGTGTGAATGCTAGAAAGGCCTTACCCCTTTTGGTGCAAAAAGTTGTTTCAAGGAAATAAAAGAAACCACCCAAAACATTTCATATAATGTTTTAAAAACCTCCACCCCTGTCAAATTAGGCTGAAATTGGTTTATTGATTTAAAGATTTAAAGATTGGTTTATTGATTTAAATTTTTCTGCAGGGATGAAACACACGTAAGCTTTATCATGCAAGCAGTATTTCTTAGAGAACCACAGATAAAACAAAGTGGTCCACATGAGGTATTTGGGCACCTCAACCATATAAACATCAGTGTATCAACATTCTTACTGCGAGCACTCCATACTCCAAATTTTATAGGAAAGCAACGATATTAGTGACCAAATATCAATGACCTGAAATTCTATGAATCCAAGATTATGTTTGCTGGATAAGAAATATTTCCAAAGGGCATCAGAAACAAGCTCGTGAAACAGCTGCACAGCTGTGAAATAACATTACACCAAGGTGCAGCTACAGTCATACAGGAACTAAAAACTAGGACTTCCATAGATACCTGAATCCCCAGTATATGAATGTGACACGTATCCTGCCATAATCAAAAGCTGCAGTGTATTAAACTTAATTTTTCTCCTGCAACCACATGCAGAAACATGGATTCATCAAGACAGATACGCTTCACCATTTATTTGAACACAAGCGACTCTGATGTGCTTCAAGGGTGAGCGCAGTAAAGGTTGTTGGGACTGCAGTGTTCTGTGCCCAGATCCACTACACACCTCCTGGGTGATATAAGCAACTCGCAGAGGTCCTTGGTATCACAGTCAGCTCATAAGAAATGAATAACATGTATCCCTCCTACCTTTTATAGATTCTGGCAAGGCCTTATTCATTACTGTTGGTTAAAAGACAAACAGACGGTACCTCAGACATGAAGTTCTGTGAAGAGGCGCATTAAGCACATTGCAGGATGAATGATAAATCCAGTTAAAGCAGCCCTGATTCCTATTTAAGGGGGGGAAAAAAAAATGTTAGCCTATTTTCCTATCATCTTTTGTCACCTGGCATCCATTGGCACTCTAAACGCTATTTTTTTAAAAAAGCTGTAACAAAGCCACTGTTGTATTTGAAGGGTAACACGTACACTGGGAAAAATCTAAGCTTTTTCCTCAACAAAAAAAGCCCACACATGGTTTTCATTCTCTTTGATTTCTCTTCCTCTGCCCCCAAATTTCACCAGGGGCTTAAAAAAAAAAAATAGAAAAACACCAAACAAAAAATGTTTTTTTGTGCACTACAACAGTGCAATATTTGCCAGTCTCATTTGCATCAAGTATTGCAATTCTAAAAAGTGAGCAGAAGTTACCAATGTCAAGGAGATTCTCAGCAGTCTATGTGATTTACACATACAGGCATAGGAAAGAAAGTTAAAAAAAAAACACTCTTTTTTTACATGACACCAAATCATGTGCAAACACTTTGCACTCCAAAAGAATCACAGCCTCATTATGTAAGCAAATCAAACTGCACATTCAGTTTCCTCCTACTAATTGCAAACCTATTTCATTGTTTTTCCAAGACCTCTGTAAAGTTCCCTCTCAGAAGAACATTTAAAAGCATCTTTTCTGTTATGGAAATAGTAAGCTAAAATGCCAAATATGTCTCATAAACTTAAGTTCCCTACAGAAAAACTTGTGTGCAGCTGAACACTAGCAACCTGGCCAAACAGAGCCTTCATGCTATGGATTTTACATTTGACACAGAAGAGAACATAAGATTTTTAAAATCAAAATGTAAGCTTGGGACAAAGAACACACAGGTAATGATGCTGGCACAATGAGCATCGCGCTCGCACTCCAGCATGGGACACATTGCAAGCATAGGGTACACACAGAGAACAAAAGCATTTAAAGCTTTTTTGTAATTCTGAGTAAATACAATGGGAATCACTAATGTTTATAAAGAGTAAACAGATACCAGCTATTCATTGGATCCTTTTAAAAAAAAAAACAAAAAAAACCCACACAACAAAAACCACAAAGGGCCATCAAATTAAAACAGAAAGATTTCTTGCTCAGAACAAGTTAAAAGGTAGCATTGCTTCTCAGGGTTTGAGGTTAAGCTATGAACGCCTCAGGACAGGATCTTGGGAATTTGTGACTCCAGGAGAGAACCGTTAAGCTGATGAAAGAGACCTCTGTAGCAGCTGCTAAACGAGACGATATCTGTGACTCCTGAAACGCCGCAGCACAGAGTATTTCAGGTAACTACCTTGCTCCGCTCTT